CCATCAAGCCTTGTTCCATTGTTGATGTGGAGCTGTGATCATCTTTAGAGGGAGAGGTGTTCTGACTTTTGAGTATTCTCAGCTTTTTTACGCTGGTTTCTTCCCGTCATTGTAAATTTATCCTCCTGCAGTCTTTGAATTTACCAACTTTCAGATTAGGTCTCTTGAGCGGGTGTCCAGGTTGTTAGTTCCCAGGGCCAGAGCAGCAGCGTTAAAACTGATGGTGCTTTTCTGTCCAGGATTCTCCTGTCTGGCTTCCTTCTTGTGTCCTGTAATGGGCAACTCTGTCTTCCCGGGGCTCCAAACCTCGGTCAGAAGGGGAACTGGTCCTGTTTACTCTGCGCCGGAGCGCTGCCGCGCCGAGGTGCCGTCACAGCCGCTGCGGGGGCTCTAGTGTCATGCTGGGGGCCCTTGTGGGTCCTCTGAAGCTGTTTGCTCTGCTCCGAGAGCTGCCACGCCGAGGTGCCCGTGGAACCGCTGCGCCGGCCACGAGAGTCGCACTGGCCACCTGTGTGTTTCCTCCACTGGGGGATCTTCTGCTCCGTGAGCGACCAGAATTTGTCTGAAAGTGTGGCGTCCTCTAGTTCTCCGTGCCTTCACTGAGAGCTGCAGTCCCGAGATGTTAGCGATCGGCCATCTTGGATCCGTTCTATTGCCCCTTTTCTTTCTTTTCTTCCTCTTCTTCCTCTCCCTTTTCCTTCCTTCCTCTCCCCTCCCCTCTTTCCTTCCTTCCTTTCCCTGTTTCTTTCTCTCCTTCTCTTTTTTCTCTCCTTCCTTCCCTCCCTTCCCCTTCCCCTTTCCCTTCCCTTCCCTCCCTTTCTTTTTCCTTCCCTTCCCCTTCCCTCTTTCATTCTTTTTTTTTTTTTTTTTTTTGAGACGGAGTTTCGCTCTTGTTACCCAGGCTGGAGTGCAATGGCGCGATCTCGGCTCATTGCAACCTCCGCCTCCTGGGTTGGGCAATTCTCCTGCCTCAGCCTCCTGAGTAGCTGGGATTACAGGTATGGGCCACCACGCCCAGCTAATTTTTTGTATTTTTAGTAAGACGGGGTTTCACCACATTGACCAGGATGGTCTCGATCTGTTGACCTCGTGATCCACCTGCCTCGGCCTCCCAAAGTGCTGGGATTACAGGCGTGAGCCACCGCGCCCGGCCCCCCTCTTTCATTCTTTGTTTCCTTTTTTCTTTTCTTTAAACAGAGTCTCGCTCTGTCATCCAGGCTGGAGTGCAGTGGTGTGATCTCAGCTCACTGCAACCTCTGCCTCCCTGGTTCAAGTGATTCTCCTTCCTCAGCCCCCCTGGTAGCTGGGACTACAGGCGCATAACACCATGCCTAGCTAATTATTTTTTCTTTTTCTTTTCCTTTTTTTGAGACAAAGTCTCTCTCTGTCTCCAGGCTGGAGTGCAGTGGCATGATGTCGGCTCACTGCAATCTCTGCCTCCCAGGTTCAAGCAGTTCTCTGGCCTCAGCCTCCCAAGTAGCTGGGATTATAGGCATGCACCACCACGCCCAGCTAAGTTTTGTATTTTTAGTAGAGATGGGTTTCACCATGTTAGCCAGGATGGTCTCGATCTTTTGACCTCATGATCCACCCACCTCGGCCTCCCAAAGTGTGAGATTACAGGTGTAAGCCACTGTACCTGGCCCTTTTCTTACTTGCTTCTTTTTTTTTTTTTTTTGCTGGGAGATCTCACTCTGTTGCCCAGGCTGGAGTGTAGTGCTGCACTTTTTTTTTTTGGAGACGGGGTTTCACCATTTTGCCCACACTGGTCTCAAACTCCTGAGCTCAAAGTGATCTGCCCGGCTCAGCCGCCCAAAATGCTGGGACTGCAGGCATGAGCCACCATACCCAGCCCCTTCCCTGATTCTTCAAAGCAAGAGGATGCATTTGGAAGATGATTGGCAGTCAAGAGAACAGTCAGTGGCTATGGAAACAAAAGTTAGCTGTTGCTGTAGTAATACAGAGCTGCACTCTATCTAAAGGATGGCCGCATCACCAAAACTAGATTCTGGAATGTAACAAACTTGTCATTCCTCAGACTCTCAAAGTAAATTTTTTTTCTCAAGAACAAGAAGCTCATGGATAGAATGAAGGACTTCATATCCTGCTAATTTTTGAGCCAGATATCAGTTTTCCATTGTCTCAAAATAAAAAAAGAAGTAAAGAAAACAAATTAGTTGGCTGGGTGTGGTGCCTCACACCTGTAATCCCAGCACTTTGGGAGGCCCAGGCCGACTGATTGCTTGAGGCTGCAAGTTTGAGACCAGCCAGACCAACATGGCAAAATTCCATCTCTACACAAAATACAAAAATTAGCTGGGCATTGTGGCTCACACCTATAGTGACTCACAGCTGAGGCTGATACATGAGAATTGCTTGAACCTGGGAGGTGGAGGTTGCAGTGAATGGAGATTGCACCGCTGCACTCCAGTCTGGGTGACAGAGCAAGACTGTCTCAAAAAAACAAAAAACAAAAAAGAAAAACAAGACAAAACATACCTTTATGTACATTCAATGGAAAAACTTCAAAATTGTTATCTGTTATTTTCAGATATGTGGGTTTTCCTGGGATTGTTACAAATCTAACCCTGCATAAGGGTAGTTTGTCATCCCATTTGCCTTTAGCTTTCAGAGGGCTGAAGTTAATGTGTTCAAAGCCCTTGTTGGGTCCATATTAACTATCCGTTAAAAGTGATATTATATAATTTTTAATGACATGGACAATGTTTATAATATATTGTAAAATGGGAAAGTTATAAAATAGGATATAATTGATACTAGTTTTGAAAGAAAAATCTTCTGGAAGGATTGGTAGTTGTCTCTGAATGATAGGATTATGAGTGATTTTTGTTTTCTTTGCTTTTTCACATTTTAAAAAATTGTGGTATTACAAACATAAATGAGGACATTAGGAAAAAAAATTATTTGGGAGAACAAGACTATTAATTCAGTTTGGGGTTTTTGAAGCTGAATCTATGATTTGAAATGCCTTGGTAGAAGTTGGAAATAAAGAACAGTCAGATTAGCCTGATAGTGGTATGCAGGAAGGACTGCAAACAGTACATCCAGGCTAGGAAATGGAAGGGTTTGGAGGCACAGGTGATATTTTTTTCATGTCTTCTTTCAGCTGAAGGTAGTACCTTTTAGAAAAGAAAGGAGTAAATAGGAGTAGAACAGTTGGCTCTCCAGATGGTGTCAGAGAACAAAATAAGATTTTATTTCTGGGCCAGTGTTTAAGATCCTGGAACTGATGAGTTTTTGGTAAGAAATCAGGGAGTCATGAGGGAGAAAAAAATTCTTTTTTGTTTTTTTAAGCAGAGAGGAGAGGAATTATTGGGAAGGAAACAGGAAATTGTTGAAAGGAAGAAAAGAACCAAGTGAAAAAATAAAAGTCTAAAAGAAATAATATTATTATAGAAGATACCCAGTGTTTCATAAAGTTGTTATAGGTAAAAGGAAGCCAAATTTATTGCTAACATTTATTAGGAGTTTAGTATATGCCAGCACTGTGGCAGATTCTTTATATGCATTATTTACTTAATTCTTACAGTAAACTCAATTTTGTTTCCCACTTGACATTATATAGTGGACATCTTTTTATTTTTTTTGTCTGTAAGGACATCTTTTTATGTCAATACAATCTATGTTGTCTTTTTTTTTTTGCGACAGAGTCTCATTCTGTCACCCAGGCTGGAGTACAGTGGTCCAGTCTTGGCTCACTGCAACCTCTGTTTCCTGGATTCAAGTGTTTTTGTGTCTCAGCATCCTGAGTAGCTGGGATTACAGACGTATACCACCAGGTCTGGCTAAACTTTTTATTTTTAGCAGAGATGGTGTTTCACCATGTTGGCCAGGCTGGTCTCAAACTCCTGGCCTCAAGTGATCTGCCTGCCTCAGCCTCCCAAAGTGCTGGGAGTACAGGTGTGAGCCACTGTGCCTACATTGTCATTTTTAATAGATAGATAGCATAGTTTTCCATTGTGTGAACGTTCATTGTAGTAAACTACAGTGAACTTTCCTGTATGTATATTTTTCCCACATTTTTTGGTATATTCTTTTTCTTAAGTAACAGATAAACATGTTAATTCTAATTTTTTGACAATATTACAATTCACAACTAAAAATGTAAAAAAATACATAATAGTAAGGTTTTCTTTCAGTCTTGTTCCCTCTGTCACCTGAACCACTATTAGTTTCCTTGGCATCTTTACATAATTTCTTTGTTATGTACGCAAATATAAATATGTATTCTTATTCTCCCCCCCTTTTGGTTTACACAGAATGTAAAAAGCATCTTGTGATCATCTCTTTAGCATAAAATCTTAGAAGTGGTACTGCTGAATAGAGAGTAGTTAAAATCTTAATACATATGGCCCACTTGCTCATGAGAGAGGTTGTATAATTTAACCTTTCTACCAACAATGCATGAATGTTACTAAATTCATTTTGTTTATGTTCTAATTTCAGTGTATCTTTATATCTCAAAACTTATGGGGAGTCCAGAATGAATGTTTAAAAACCACTATAATTTATAATATAAGGTGAATTCTAGTATTACACAGAATTGATTATACAAAATTCTTTGAACTTATTTATAACTATGACATAGACAGATGGACCTAATGAGAAGGAAAGATTTGATCTAAGTTGTTATTTATTTTTCTGTGTTTTGCTTGTTGGATAAGTAGAGAAACAGGTAGGAATGAAAACATGGAAAAATCTGTTTGTAGTGTAAAAATAGAAAATAGAGCTGAATGAAACAAAAAGTAAGTGATGAGAAATGAGGATGGACTTGAGAGTGAAAAAAGGGTAAACAATTCTAGTAGGTACAATACATCTGATAAGGCATATTGCCAGATGATCTCTTTCTATTTTGTTTTCCAGATTCCTGTTACAGTTTTTACTTTCTATCATTGAATTGTTGGACATGATTATAATAGAAATTAAATTTTCAATGAAATGAATATGTCTTGTCATTTGTCTTTTTTTTCTTTAAATAGAATTGATTATCTGAAGAAATGGATACATCTCCTTCCAAAAAATATCCAGTTAAAAAACGGGTGAAAATACATCCCAACACAGTGATGGTGAAATATACTTCTCATTATCCCCAGCCTGGGGATGATGGATATGAAGAAATCAATGAAGACTATGGAAATTTTATGGAAGAAAATCCAAAGAAAGGTCTGCTGAGTGAAATGAAAAGAAAAGGAAGAACTTTCTTTGGAACCATGGATACCCTGCCTCCACCAACAGAAGACCCAATGGTCAATGAGATTGGACAGTTCCAGAGCTTTGCAGAAAAAAATATTTTTCAATCCCAAAAAATGTGGATAGTGCTGTTTGGATCTGCTTTGGCTCATGGATGTGTAGCTCTTATCACTAGGCTTGTTTCTGATCGTTCTAAAGTTCCATCTCTAGAACTGATTTTTATCCGTTCTGTTTTGCAGGTCTTATCTGTGTTAGTTGTGTGTTACTATCAGGAGGACCCCTTTGGACCCAGTGGATACAGATTACGACTCTTCTTTTATGGTGTATGCAATGTCATTTCTATCACCTGTGCTTATACATCATTTTCAATAGTTCCTCCCAGCAACGGGACCACTATGTGGAGAGCCACAACCACAGTCTTCAGTGCCATTTTAGCTTTTCTACTTGTAGATGAGAAAATGGCTTATGTAGACATGGCTACAGTTGTTTGCAGCATCTTAGGTGTTTGTCTTGTCATGATCCCCAACATTGTTGATGAAGACAATTCTTTGTTAAATGCCTGGAAAGAAGCCTTTGGGTACACCATGACTGTGATGGCTGGACTGACTACTGCTCTTTCTATGATAGTTTATAGATCCATCAGAGAGAAGATCAGCATGTGGACTGCACTGTTTACCTTTGGTTGGACTGGGACAATTTGGGGAATATCTTCTATGTTTGTTCTTCAAGAACCCATCATTCCATTAGATGGAGAAACTTGGAGTTATCTCATTGCTATATGTGTCTGTTCTACTGCTGCATTCTTAGGAGTGTATTATGCCTTGGACAAATTCCATCCAGCTTTGGTTAGCACAGTACAACATTTGGAGATTGTGGTAGCAATGGTCTTGCAGCTTCTCGTGCTGCACATATTTCCTAGTGTCTATGATGTTTTTGGAGGGGTAATCATTATGATTAGTGTTTTTGTCCTTGCTGGCTATAAACTTTACTGGAGAAATTTAAGAAGGCAGGACTACCAGGAAATATTAGATTCTCCCATTAAATGAATACCTGATTATTATCATCTAATTAATGTTCAGTTATTAATATGTATACTGCCATTTAAATGTTTACCTGTTAATGTCTTTTGTGTTATATAACTGAGAGTGCTATATAATATATATAGAAATGCAGAAAAGTTATTCTAGTCTAATATATTCAAATACAAATATTAAATAGATGAAATATGTCATGAATTTGGTATCTTTATTGATATTTATAGGTGTCTTTCCAGGCAAATTGTAGTAGAATGTTAACTGCTATCACTAAAGAATAGAAGATTCAAAGAAATGACCCCTTTCAGATGCCACTGAAGTTCAAAAATTAGAAAAATGTTCATGCCCAATGTTCTATACATCTTCAACAAAACTCCTTCATTTTTGAAAAATACACTATTAAGGTGAGATGTTCAACACCAAACCCTGTTTTGTCATCTGCTTGCATTAGAAAACTAGAAGTCACAGGGCTGGGTCAGGGAGCCTGAGCTGAGGCAAGAAAAGAGGAAACGAGGGAAAAGAAGTGGTTTTTTAATGACAATGGGTGGTTATCCAAAGTTGGAATAAGTTACCCTTATTATGGCCACAGTAGGTGATACATAGGAAATAGAAATGGGGAGAAGTGTGGATTTTTGCCAGCCTTTCCTAGCCCATGCCACTTTGAGCCTGATGGTCAGATACCTAATGTTGCTTATCCTCAGTTATGTGGATCTCTTCCAAGGCTGACCTTGTTTATGATTTTGTGGCAAGTATATGTGTGAGCTGCAGTAAAGGTACTCCTTACTCCTGAAAAAGGCACCAACAGCAATCATAGTATAGCAGAAAATTGACATGGTATCCCAAGATTCTTGTCAAAAAGGTCTAAAAGTTTGTAAAAGCATATATGATGGCATTAAGTCTAATTTTGGCCATTCTTACCAATTTAGCACAAACAAATGATATGGTACTGGTTATTAAACTATTGTCTCAGGTTCACATTCCCTCTTCTATACTTTCCTCTGTAATGCTATGGTTCAAATCCTGCAAACTACATTTTTTCTATACCAGCTGGTGTCTCACTAGATTCTATCAATAAAGGGCATTAGAGGGAGACTGGAAGGCAGAAGGGAAGAGGGGACTTCCTCCTTTCCATTTGTTTGCAGTTTCTGTCACTGTCATCCGGCAACAAGCAAGAGCCCTTTGCTCTAGCAGCAGCAATTGATTTCAGCCTTGAGCTTCTTTTGACATCCTCCCTACCCCCAGCTAGCCTTCTCCAAAGTAGTAGGACCAGCCAGATGGCATCCTCTCAAGGGTCTGAGCAATAGCTCAGCCAGGTTATTTGTCTGAGTTTCTGAGACCTGCTAGTCCACCTTGAGTCTCCCTTTTCACTAGATTTAGCACTGGTAGCTGCTCCCTGTAGTTATCACCTCTGGGTGACCTCAGTGTTCCCTTTTCGCTTTTTCAGTAAATGAAAACACAATAATAAATCCACTCTGTAGTAATATTTTCTAATTTCTGATTTCCTAATATATCTCCAAACCTTCCTCAAAGGAATCTATAGCTATCAGCAGGCTACTGTGCTTTGCGAAAGTGTCAACATTTAGATTTTTCAGCGATTATTATACAGTGGCCCTTAATAGGAATTATGTAAACTAAAACACAGAAAAAGATTAGGGAAAAAAGAATGAACAAAGCCTGATGACCCATACTAAGTACAGAGAAGTCTAGCATGAGTGTAATTGCAGTCCCAGAAGAAGAAGAGAAACAAAGAATGGGACAGAAAAAAACCTTTGAAGAAATATTGGACAAAAGTCTTCCAAATCTGATAAAAAAGAAAGAAAATGAGAAAACAGCAACGTACAGATCCAGGGAATAAAATGAACCCCAAGCAGGATAAATACAAAACCAAAACAAACATTCATACTGTAATGAAGCATCATAGTGTAACTTGATAAATATAAAGAAAACCTTAAAAGCATTCATAGAAAAAGACACCTAGAAACATCACAGTGTAACTTTTGGTAAACAAATATAAAGAAACAAAATCTTAAAAGCATTCATAGAAAAAGACATAAGACATACAAGAAAATAATGATAAGAATTACAACCAGTTTCTCACAGAAAAAATGGAGACCAGAAAACAAGAGAATGACATCTTTAAACCCCTGGAAAACAAACAACCTTTGATGGCTTCTCATTGCCTGTAGGATAAACTCTAAGGGCTTGACTTCCATAACCTGGCTACTGATGATATTTCTAGCTATCTTCTGATCTAGCAATATTCTGCCGTTTAATGCCTTTTTATTATGCAGGCTCCTCTGTGTGGACAGCTCTTTTCTAGTTGCCTGACTAACCTGACCACACAACTCCTTTCCCCTGTGACTTACTATTCTTGCACATACCAATTTTTGTATTTACAATACTAATAACAAATATCTGTTTACATCTCATTCTCTGACACTGGTTTGGGCACTTTTTTTTTTTTGAGATGAAGTCTTACTCTGTCACCCAGGCTGGAGTGCAATGGCTTGATCTTGGCTTACTGCAACTTCTACCTCTTGGGTTGAAGTGGTTCTCCTGTCTCAGCCTCCTGAGTACTTGGGATTACAGGCACATGACACCATGCCTGACTTATTTTTTTGTATTTTTAGTAGAGACTGGTTTTTACCATGTTGGCCAGGCTGGTCTCAAACTCCTGACCTTAGGTGATCCGTCCACCTTGGCCTCCCAAAGTGCTTGGATTACAGACATGAGCCACCGTGCCCGACCTGAGCACTTTTAAGGTAACTTGCTGATGGTTGTAGACTGGTACCTACCACAGAGCAGACCCTTAATTAATTTTGTTGAATTAATTCCCATAAGAATATAACAATACTTGGCTGGGCAATCCCATTCCTGCAATCCCAGCACTTTGGGAGGCCGAGGTGGGCAGATCACCTGAGGTCAGGAGTTTGAGACCAGCCTGGCCAACATGGTGAAACCCTGTCTGTACTAAAAATACAAAACAATTAGCTAGGCATGGTGGCACGTGCTTGTAATCCTAGCTACTCAGGAGGCTGAGGCAGGAGAATCACTTGAACCCAGGAGGCGAAGGTTGCAGTGGACCGAGATCATGCCACTGCACTCCAGCCTGGGCAACAGAGTGAGCTCTGTCTGAAAAAGATCAAAAACAATATAACAATACTCAATCTAGAAATTAAATTTAGGCTGGGCGTGGTGGCTCATGCCTGTATTCCCGGCTATTTAGAAGAGAAGCCAAGGTGGGAAGATGGCTTGAGGCTCCAGGAGTTTGAGGCTGCAGCAAGTAATGATCATGTCACTGCACTCCAGCTTGGCTGACAGAAGGAGACACTGTCTCTAAATAAAAAGAAATTACATTTGGTTACCAGGGCCCACTAATTTCTATACTTCAGCGTTGAGCCTGTGATCAGTTATGTCTTGCTGATTGGTAGATAGGACTTGTTTGGGGAGGTCATAAACATTCCTTCCTGACAGTAATGCTAAACTACTCTCTGTTCTGTAACATTTTTTTTTTCCCCTGGGTGCCAAATTTCTTTATTTGAAGGAATGGCACAAATCAAAGAACTTAAGTGGATGTTTTGATACAACTTACAGAAAAGATAAAGGAAACCCCAACATGCATGCATTGCCTTGGTGACCAGGGAAGTCACCCCATGACTATGGGGAAATTAGCCTTAGACTTAGCTTTCATTATCATTATCTCCCAGGATGTGCTTGTCAAAGAGATACTCTGCCAAGCCAGATTCGGGTGCTCCCATCTTTCGCATTTTGGTCACTTGGTCACCCAATTCTTTGATGGATTTCACCTGCTCATTCAGGTAATGTGTCTCAAAGAAGTCACGCAAATGGAGGCCATTTTTGTCAGTGGCCAGTTTTTGCAGTTCCAGTAGTGACAGATTCACATTTTTTTTTTCTCCAAATGTAATGCACACTCCATTGCATTCAGCCCGCTCTCCCAGTCATCATGGTCTGGTTTCTTGATATCCTGAAGGAAGATCCAGCCACTTCATTGGTTCTGCAGCTTCATCACTTTCTCAGCGTGTTCCCTCTCCTCATGAGATTGGTGAAGAAAGCATTTGGCAAAGTTCTTCAAAGCTACATCATCAAAAGTAGTAAGAAATGACAGGCAGACGTAAGAGGCATAGAGCTCCAGGTCGATCTGGCGGTTGATGGCGGCTTTTGAGTCATGGTGGTAGTTCTGGCGCACCTGCCAGGCGGACGCGGTTGTTATGGCAGCGGCTGTGTGGTGCTGGAGCGGTGACTGGGGCCTTGGGGCTTTCCGAGGATGTGGCGAGGAGGTGAGGGAGGGCTGGCTATGGGCAGCCGGCCGGGGTGGGGGATGAGCGCCGGGTTCTGTCCAAGCACTATTGAAGCAGGAAACGGCGGCGTCTGTTTTTTTTTTTTTAGACAGTCTCACTGTGTTGCTCAGACTAGAGTGCAAGTGCAGTGTCACCCAGGCTAGAGTGTAGAGTGCAAGTGCACTGCACCTTCACCTCCCGGGTTCAAGCAATTCTCTGCCTCAGCCTCCTTAGTGGCTGGGATTACAGGTGCCTGCCACCATGCCTGGCTAATTTTCGTATATTTTAGTGAGACAGGGTTTCACCATGTTGGCCAGGCTGGTTTAGAACTTGTGACCTCGTGATCCACCTGCTTGGCCTCCCAAAGTGCTGGGATTACTGGCCTGAGTCACTGCGCCCAGCCTCTCTGTAACAATTTCTAACTATAAACTATCAGGTTTTTGGGAAAGGTCTTCACATGGAGGCTCATTTTTCCCTTTCTTGTGTTCCCAAATTCTTTTATTTGGGATTAATAAAGTAAGCCACCTGCATTTTTTCAATCGTAGACAGATTAGCTGCCCATATCTGAAGCTCCACCTGTAGTCCATAGGTAAGTTTTGTTTTTGTTTTGAGACAGGGTCTCACTCTGTCACCCAGGATGGAGTGCAGTGGTGTGATCATAGCTCCTTGCAGCCTCAAATTCCTGGGCTCAAGCCATCCTCCCCCCTCAGCCTCCAGAGTGGCTGGGACTACAAGCCCATGCCACTATAGCCAGCTAATTAAAAAAATTTTTTTGTCCGGGCGAGGTGGCTCACGCCTGTAATCCCAGGACTTTGGGACCCCAAGGTAGCCGGATCACAAGGTCAGGATATAGAGACCATCACAAAAATTAACCGGGCGTGGTGGTGTGTGCCTGTAGTCTCAGCTACTCAGGAGGCTGAGGCAGAAGAATCACTTGAACCCGGGAGGCAGAGGTTGCAGTGAGCTGAGATCACTGCACTCCAGCCTGGTGACAGAGTGAGACTCCATCTCAAAAAAAAAAAAAATTTTTTTTTTTTTTTTAAATTTTATTGTAGTTCTGTTGCCAGGGTCAATCACAAGTTTTGACTTACATTTTCTTGTTGCCTGATTGTGGTTAGTCCCTGATCCACTCAGCACTAATTAGCAAGTTTGATTCCTGTTTTTGGTTTGAGTTCCCCTGAAAGAGAGGAAGCAGCAGCCATGTGCATGTTTATATTTGGAAGTTAGGGAGACAGACTGTGTGAAAGGAAGTCTCTGGGACAGCTCCCACCTCATGAAAACATGAACTGCATCCCTTCTAAGTTCAATTTCATATATACCTTTCTGCCTATCTGCCCGTCCAGTCTATGCTTTCCTTTTTCATTGCTGTTTCCTTATTTTTCTTCTTTGACTTGTCTTTTGCATATATTTTTGGAGGTTTCTTAAATTATTTCTTAAGAGTACCTGGTAAGAATGAGTGATGAGGAAGATTAAAAAAGAAAAAGTAAGAGGATAAACTGACTGGGTGGCTCACGCCTGTAATCCCAGTACTTCGGAAGGCTGAGGTGGGTGGATCACCTGAGGTCACGATTTTGAGACCAGCCTGGCCAACATGGTGAAACAACATGGTGGTGCATGCCTGTCATCCCAGCAACTTGGGAGGCTGAGGCAGGAGAATCATTTGAACCCTGGAGGCGGAGGTTGCAGTGAGCTGAGGTTGCACCACTGCACTCCAGTCTGGGTGACAGAGCAAGACTCCATCTCAAAAAACAAAAACAACAACAAAAAAACCCCAAAAAACTAAATGTATGATTTAAGCATATTTTTTTCTGGGTTAATTTTCCCTACTTAATGTGGTGGTAAGCTACAGGAAGGCAAGAACAGTATTTCTGTACCTGTTGTATTTGTATTCACACCTTCTGCCTCCATTATGTTAAATATGTAATTGGAATTAAAATTGAGTCTGGGCACGGTGGCTCAGGCCTGTAATCCTAGCACTTTGGGAAGCCGAGGTGGGCGGATCACCTGAGGCCAGGAGTTTAGAGACCAGCCTGACCAACATGGAGAAACACCATCTCTACTAAAAATACACACAAAAAATTAGCTGGGTGGTGGCTCATGCCTGTAATCCTAGCTACTCCGGAGGCTGAGGCAAGAGAATTGCTTGAACCCAGGAGGTGGAGGTTGTGGTGAGCCGAGATTGCACCATTGCACTCCAGCCTGGTCAACAAGGGCAAAATTCCGTCTCAGAAAAAAAAAAAAAATTGAGTCAAACTGTGCTAAGTTTGCTGCGTGATTTTGCAGAGATAGCTTTAACTCTGGACAACACTTTCTTCAAAAATGAGTATCATATTAATATCTCAATCTGTAAACTTTATAAAATATATCAACAAATAAGAATACCATTGTATTAGCTTGGGTTGCCATAACAAAATACTAGATTGGGTGGCTTAACACAACAGAAGTTTATTTTTTCAAAGTTCTGTAGGTTGGGAGGTCCAAAAGGGGATGTCAGCATGGTCAGTTTTGGGTGAGGGCTCTCTCCCTGGCTTGCAGATGTCTGTCTTCTTCCTGTGTTCTCAAATGGAGAGAGCTCTCTGGTGCCACTTTCTAAAAAGACATTAATCTTCTGGGATTGGAGCCCCACCCTTATGACCTAATTTAATTTTTATTATTTTCATAAAGGCCTTGCTCCAAATAGAGATGGTCCCTGACTTAAGATTTTTTGACTTTATGATGGTGCAAAAGCCATATGCACTCTAGAATTTGTACTTTGAGTACCCACATAACCATCCAGTTTTTCATTCAGTACAGTATTTAAGATTATGTGAAATACTCAATACTTTATTATAAAATAAGCTTTGTGTTAGATGATTTTGCCTAACCGAAGGCTAATGTAAGTATTCTGAGCACGTTTTAGGTAGGTTAGGCTAAGCTATGATGTTTGGTAGGTTAGAAGCATTAAATGCATTTTTGACTTATGATCTTTTCAACTTATGGTACTTTCAATTTACAGTGGGTTTATTGGAATATAACTCCTTTGTAAGTTGAGGAACATCTGTATAGTCACATTAGGAGTGAGGGCTTCAGTATATGAATTTTAGGGGGGGGATGCAATTTAACCCATACCAGTAATGATAAAATATGCAGTTATTTAAACCCTTAGAATAAACTCAAAATTCACCTCCATTATTCACTTTGGATGCAAATAATAGAATATAGACAAAAAGTAGCTGTTGCCCAGTTTCACGGTCTACTTGTCCCAGCCAACCTGAGCATAAACAGGTAAATCTGTGCCTGACTTGCGATCCTACATATGGCAGACTGTCTTAGTCCCTTTAGTGTTGCTAGAATGGAAGACCCAAAGCTGGATAATTTATAAAAAAGATTTATTTGGCTTATGGTTCTGTCTGGAAAAGTTCAAGACTGAGCATCTGCATCTAATGGGGACCTGAGACTGCTTCCACTCATGGCAGAAGGCAAAGGAGAGCTGGTCTATACAGAGATTACATGGCCAGAGAGGAAACACGAGAAGAAAGGAAGTACCAGGTTCTTTTTAACCAGCTCTGGCAGAAATAAAGATAACGCACTTACCCCCTCCCCAGGGAGGACATTAATTTATTCATGAAAGAACCACCTCTATGACCCAACACTTCCCATTAGGCCCTACCTCCAACACGGGGGATCAAATTTCAACAGGAAATTTAGGGGGACAAACATCTAAATTATAGCACAGGCCAACCACATGCATGCATTACTACTTAAGCAAATAATTTTGAAGTTAAATGCAGAAAACTGCAAACTTTTGAGGCTGATAGCTAGGGCCAGGATTAAAGTAAAAAGTATTAATGCCTTAAACAAAATTTACTGACCATCTACCATGTGCAAGGCCCTAGGGAGAAACTGAACAGACACGGTTCCTGATTCAATGGAGTTTACAATCCACGTAGGGATACAGACAAACCATTTCAATAGCTCGGATGGAGAAAATACCTGTGCTCAAGGATACCTAACTCGGCAAGCTTCCCTGAGGAGCGACCCTAAACTGAACCACAAAGATGGTTAAGAAGAAATGAGGCAGCAGGGTGTGGTGGCTCATGCCTGTAATCTCAGTACTCTGGGAGGCCGAGACAGGCGGATGAGAAGGTCAAGAGATGGAAATCATTCTGACCAACATGGTGAAACCCCGTCTCTAATAAAAATACAAAAATTAGCCGGGCGTGGTGACGCGTGCCTGTAGACCCAGCTACTAGGGAGGCTGAGGGAGAGAATCGCTTGAAACCAGAAAGCGGAGGTTGCAGTGAGTCGAGATCGCGCCACTGCTCTCCAACCTGGCGACAGAGCGAGACCCCGTCTAAAAAAAAAAAAGGTTACTACGGTTTGCAGCACACTTACTGATGCTTCAGCCAGTGGCTGGAAACCTTATAACAGGCAGACCTAGCTCCGAAGATCCTCTTCATAACACTACTGTCGCCAAGACTGGAAGCTGCCCAAGCACGAGGGTCCTTTTAGAGGGACCTCAGACTCAGTTTATTTTGGTCTGTGCCTCAAATTAAACACAAGTCGGCCTGGCGCCGTGGCTCACGCCTGTAATCCCAGCACTTTGGGAAGACGAGGCAGGCGGATCACGAGGTCAGGCGATCAAGAGCATCTCAGCCATGGTGAAATCCCGTCTCTGCTAAAACACAAAAAATTAGCCGGGCGTGGTGGAGGCGCGCGCCTGTAGTCCCAGCTACTCAGGAGGCTGAGGCGGGGAATCGCTTGAACCCGGGAGACGGAGGTTGCAGTGAGCCGAGATCACGCCACTGCACTCCAGTCTGGGCGACAGAGCAAGACTCTGTTTCAAAAAAAAAAAAAAAAAAAAAAGCCACATGTCTTACATTTCTCCCAGGTCCCAATTTTCAGGTCTTTTTATTTGTTTTTCTTTGTCCCTCCCTGCTCCTAAGCACCTTCGGCTGGGAAGACATTCTTCAGGTGCAGAAACCAGGGGGAGGCTCCCTGAACAGTGGGGGTTAGCTCAGGACGCTGTCATTTTTGCTGTAGAGTCTCTCCTGCAGCGCTGGGGCGGAAGGCTCAAAGTAACCACCCAGAGCAACCGCAGAGGGAAAACCGAAGACAGTCGTGGTCTGGCCTACCGCTTCTCACCCTCTCGCTGTCTTCTTTCCGCCGCGCAGCCTCAGCTCTTTCCACAGTACGAACGGCGCTTGATTGACAAGTGGGCCCGCCCAATCCCAGTGCGGCACAGACCACTGTCGCGTCAAGGACCGGGAAAGGGGGCGACTGAACCTATCAGATTGGGTCGGGAGTGGGTTTCCTGCCCGCGCGGATCCGCCTGCCCACCGCGCGTGCCCCGCCCCTCTCCCGAGAGCTACGCGGCGGTGGAGCGCAGGCCTCGTGCCGTTACGGTCATCACGGCGGCCGCGGCGGCGTCCCGGTGCCTTCCTCAGGTGAGCTGGAGCTAGCCGGCACGGAAGACGGAGGGTGAGATGGCCTTGCTGGGAGGCCGACACACACACACCCCCTCCTTCAGTCGGCTGTCCGTCCTCACAGCCTGTTACTCGCTGCGTCGCTTCCTCTTCCCCCGCTGAGTTAGCCCCGGGGGCGCCGTCTGCAGGCTCGGAGCTGAGCCGGAGGGGATGCGGAGGCTGCTCGGCGGGGCCCGGACGTCTGCACTGGGATTCCGCGAGACCCTTGGGGCTCTGCCCCAGGGAGCGCGAACCCGTGGCCTCCTTGTCAGCCCCTGGAGCGCTGCGTCGGGGTTAGAGCCCGGGCGACCGCCCCTGCGAGGCTGGGAGGTCGAGTGTGCGGCTCGCTCGCCGGCTTGTCTATTTTCTACTGAAAAAGTCCTGTTGCCAGCTGTGGCGTAATCCAAGACCGGGAAGGTAGGGACGTGGTAGAAGGGAGGGCGCTCTCACCTCCAGCCCGAGAGGAGGAGGGGGCGGCAGCCTGCGCGGTGCTGAGGGTGGACATATTCGGGACGCGCCCTCGCCCCTCCCCCTACCCGCCGGCGGTTTTCTGGTCCGGGGCTTTGACTTTAAACGTCTGGACCTGCTTCACATTCGTACGCGAGTTGCTGGGGGTGTAAACTTTTGACTTGAGTTGTAATATGTTTGGTAAAAAAATTATCTCGATAGTTTTGTAACATTTCTTGTATGTTAACGTATAAGTTAAATTTGCCGTTAGAAGCTCAGGAAGCTGGATTTGTTCAGGGCTGAGGACGTAACGGTAGGAAGGCTCTCGGTGTCAAATCGATGGATCTGGAGTCAACTGAAAATAATTCTACACGTTATATTAGGTAAGAAGCCTTAGGAATTGTGAAAGAATGAGGTTAAGAAGAATTTCCAACTCCTTTTTGGGAGGGGAGCAAAGCAGCTCAATGCCCCAAAACGGGTAAGTGTTGCCAAGAGGTCCTCATTTTTTTTTGGTTGTTGCTGATTTTTTTTTTTTTTGAGACAGAGTCTTGCTCTGTCGCCAGGCTGGGGTGCAGTAGCGCGATCTCGGCTCACTTGCAACCTCCGCCTCCCGAATTCAAGCGATTCTCCTGCCTCAGCCTCCCGAGTAGCCGTGCTACCGTCGCGGGCCACCACCACCCCCAGCTAATTTTTGTATTTTTAATAGAGACGGGGTTTCACCGTGTTGGCCAGATGATTTCCATCTTCTGACCTCGTGATCCGCCTGGCTCGGCCTCCCAAAATGCTGGGATTACAGGTGTGAGCCACCGTGCCCAGCCAAAGTACTCATTTTAAAAATCTTTCTTGGATAGACTTACGGCAAACCAACAATAATGATTTCTTCAGCACCTGGAAAGCGCTATGTCTAAACTCTCAGCCTTCAGCGAGGTCACACAGTAAATGGGGAAATAACCCAATAAGAAAGTTTTGTTTGTTTGGTAATTGTCAACGTTTGTTCTTTTCTTTTTTTAAAACACTTTATTTTCTTGTGGGGATGGAGTCAGTGATGTTCTTAAATAGGCATTCCATTCACAACTTGATAGTAATATGCACTGGTTAATAAATGGTACTTTCTTTTCATCTTGACCACAAGCTCTGAGGCTTTCTTCTTTGGGAAAATTATGGTCTGTGGGAATTGGCTCTAATATCCATAAAGATAGATTGCAGAGTGTTCAGATCTACTAGCTGTTGGTTCATGTATTAAATTTTTAAATGTGTACTTATTTTTCTAGGCATTATCTTTTGTCCAGGTTTCTGTAGTGCTTTCAGGTCCATGTAAATAAAACTTGAAACCTACCTGTAATGTTTTGTTAGTTACTGAATGAGACCAGGCGAGGTAGTTCAAGCCTGTAATCCCAGCACTTTGGGAGACCAAGGCGGGAGGATAGCTGGAGTCCAGGAGTTTGAGATCAGCCTGGGCGATATAGTGAGACTCTGTCTTTAAATTAGAAAATTAAAAAAAAAATTTAAAAAGGAAAATAAAAAGAAAAGTGATATTAAGTGATGCTTTGTGTTTCTTGGTTTCTTTGAGATGGAGAAACATAAAGACTTGCTCTGTTGCCCAGGCTGGAGTGCAGTGGCATGATCTTGGCTCATTGCAACCTCTGCCTCCTGGATTCAAGCGATTCCTATGCTCAGCCTCCCCAGTAGCTGGGACTACAGGTGTGTGCCACCACACCCAGCTAATTTTTTTTTTGTATTTTTAGTAGAGACGGGGTTTCACTATGTTGGCCAGGCTGATCTTGAACTTTTGACCTCAAATGGTCCGCCCACCTGGGCCTCCCAAAGTGCTGGGATTACAGGCGTGAGCCACCGTGCCTGGCTGAGTTTCTTTTTCTTTTGGATCTCTGAGGACTTTCCTTTCAAAGCTGAAGGTATGTTTGATGTGATTATTACAAATCACTTGTCAGGAAGAATTGACGTAATGAATACAGGTGCAGTTCATTTTTAAAATTATGGTTTAATAATTTTTAGAATTTACCTTTATAATATGGAAAAATACCATACATTCTTTATCTGTACTGGAAAATTAAATGATTATTTCATTGATAAGTAAAATTGAAGGGAACTCTTGAAATCACTGAGCATTTAACAAATTCTCTGTAAATACCTTGATGTTAAGAAGACCACAGGGCTAAATATGACATTTAAAGATTAAGACAACAGTTATGTCTGGCTGATCCTCACCTGAAACTGTAACAAAGAGAACTAGTCTTCCCTTCAAAACTGATGCTGACTTGGTTTTGTTGACATTACCACGTTTTCAATTACCCAGATACAAACTTTGGTTTTATCTCCTAGCTTGTTAACAATATTGGACGATTTTTGCCAGCCATTTTTATCTTTGAACTACTCACTAGCCTTTAATTGGGTTTTCTGCTTGGCTTTTCTCTCTACTTAGTGTGTCCTGCCTAAATCTTAGAATAATGCTTCAAACACATCCTTCATTTTTCAGAAATCAGTGATAGCTCCCAGTTATCTTCAGAGTATAGTTCAGAATTCATGCCTTCTAACAGTCTGCTCAAACCTATTATTCTGGTGCCAGCACTTTCTTTTTTTTCTTTAATCGGTGCCAGCACTATTTCTTTTTAGGAACTATCCACTCTAACCAAACCAATCTGTAGTTCTTATTTACCCTTTGTATTTTTCTACCTTCATATTAAGTTCTTTTTCTTTTTGTGTGGAGTCTCACTCTGTTGCCCAGGCTGGAATGCAGTGGCACCATCTTGGCTTACTACAACCTCTGCCTCTTGGGTTCAAGTGATTCTCCTGTGTCAGCCTTCTGAGTAGCTGGGATTACGGGTGCGGGCCTCCATGCCCAGCTAATTTTGTATTTTTCGTAGAGATGGGGGTTTCTCCATGTTGGCCAGGCTGGTCTTGAACTCCTGACTTCAGATGATCCACAGGCCTCAGCCTCCCAAAATGCTGGGATTATAGGCGTGAGCCACTTCATCTGGCCAGGTTGCCTAGTCTTTCAAATATTTTTCTCTTAAATTGCCAAGTAGGAAATCAAGGAAAATGTTGTGAAAGTTTCGCTTTTGGTCCTTTGGTGCAGCCTTCCAAATGTTTTTCCTGTTCGCTATGTTGTTGCTTTTCCTTTTTTTTTTGAAGACAGAGTCTTGCTTTGTTGTCCCAGCTGGAGTACATTGGCCTGATCATAGCTCCTCATTGTAACCTGAACCTCCCAAGGGCCAGGAATACAGGTATGTATCAATGCCTGGCTAATTTTTATTTTTATTTTTTTAGAGATAGGGTCTGACTTTGTTGTCAGGCTGGTTTTGAATTCCTGGCCTCAAGTGATCCTCCCATCTTGGTCTCCCAACGTGCTGGGATTATAGGGGTAAGCCACTGTACCTGGCCTGTTGCTTTCCTTTAAACCCATACCCCTTGTGGTTTTACTATTCCCTTGGTTTTTAATCTTATGTGGACTTGTATCATAGACTCAGAGCATTATTGCTGGAATGGTGGAATCCAACCTTGTGTTTTCTAGATAAGGAAACTGAAATACACATAGACTAGATGCACCAAAATTCAAACATCTAGTGATGGGGGCAAAACAAAGACTCAAACCTTGAACTTCTAATGCAAATTCTGTGTATTTATGAAACCATACTACTTCTCATCTCTTGTAATTTTTTGCATTTATTTTGCATTTTGTGTATTTATGCCTTCTCATAGACTGAAAACTTCAGGGTAGGGGAATCTTCATATTTACCTTGTAATTTTTATTGTTTTTGAGATGGAGTCTCCCTCTGTCACCCAGGCTGGAGTGCAATGGTGGTCCCTGGGCTCACTGCAATCTCCGCCTCCCAGGTTCAAGTGATTCTCCTGCCTCAGCCTCCCAAGTAGCTGGGATTACAGTTGCCTGCCACCACGCCTGGCTAATTTTTGTACTTTTAGTAGAGACAGGATTTCACCTTCTTGGCCAGGCTGGTCTCAAACTCCGCCTCGGCCTCCCAAAATGCTAGGATTACAGGTGTGAGCAGCCGCACCTGAAAATTTTTTTTGATGGAGTTTCACACTTTTTGCCCAGGCTGGAGAGCAGTGGCACAATCTCGACTCACTGCAGCCTCCGCCTCCCGGATTCAAGCAATTCTCCTGCCTCAGCCTCTCAGTAGCTGGGATTATAGGCGCCTGCCACCACTCCCGGCTAGTTTTGTATTTTTAGTAGAGATGGGGTTTCACCATGTTTGCCAGGCTGGTCTCAAACTCCTGACCTCAGATGATCCATCTGCCTCGGCCTCCCAAAGTGCTGGGATTGCAGGTGTGAGACTCTGCACTGGCCTTACAATGTAAATTATTTAAACAATGATTTAAAGCCTATATACAGTTTTTTCCCCCATGCTTGTTAGCTGTATTAACACCATTAACAAACATAATATTGTCATGTTTACCATTGAGTTCTTTTTATTTTGAGGCAGGGTCTCACTCTGTCACCCAGGATGAAGTGCAGTGGTGGGCTCTCGCTCACTGTACCCTCTGCCTCCCAATTTCAAGGGAGTCTCCTGCCTCAGCCTCCCAAGTAGCTGGGATTATAGGTGCCCGCCACAATGCCTGGCTAATTTTTATATTTTTAGTAGAGATGGGGGTTTCACCATGTTGGCCAGGCTGGTCTTGAACTCATGACCTCAGGTGATCTACCTGCGTCAGCCTCACAAAGTGCTGGGATTACAGTTGTGAGCCACCACACCTGGCCAGTATTTACCGTTGAGTTCTGTCACCTAAAAAATGAATCTCTTACAGATTTTACTGCTGAAATTTAATTTGTCTTTTCCAATCTCTTAGTAATGCAAATTAATCTTTGAAGCCCTTGAATGTAGATACAGAACAGTGTAATGGTTTAGAGGAAACCTGAAGGGTTTATCACGTAACTAAATGTAATGATCTAGCTGTAATTTTTTTTTCCCTTTTTGAGTGTTAGAATTCTAACA